ATATAATCCCTCCACCTGGTCCTAGGTCTACCCCTTGGTCTCTTCCCAGCTGGACGTGCCTGGAACACCTCCCTAGGGAGGCGCCCAGGTGGCATCCTAACTAGGTGCCCGAACCACCTCAACTGGCTCCTTTTGACGCGAAGGAGGAGCGGCTCAACTCCGAGTCCCTCCCTGATGACAGGGACTGTGCACTCCTCCATCACATGCACAGATGATTTCTAGAAGACTGGATCACACTTTTGAGCCCAAAGCACAAGACAAATAAAGCCACACATTTGAGCCTGTGGACTACACAAAGTGAAGTGATGATATTATGGGGTAATATATGTATTTAATGTTTAAATTGCAAATATCACATACAAATGTATTCATCTAGATCAGTGTTTCTCAAACTTTTTCATAACAAGGACCGCTTAACCAATAAAAAAACACTCGAGGACCACCTAACTCCCCAAATATCCCAAAACACATCGTTTTTCTAGAACAGATTACAAATCTCCTGAACATGGTACAAACAAGTGGCAACATGTGTGACGAAGGTGTTGCGCTGGGCTATATCATGCAATCGAAAGTTAAACTTAGACTCGCTCCATTGCGGAGATATTCCCGCGAGAGTGAGAACAAATTAAAGGTATTTATTTCAAAATTCCCCAGTTTAACTTCCCATGGAAATTTACCGGAAATGTTCCGCCCCTTTGCAAGCCTACATTTTTTTTGTGAATGAGTAATGTCATGCTCCTCTTGTAGTGGGCAAGGCTTATAGTGTTTAAATAGACTAGAGAAAGGTTGGTTTTAGGGTTATATAGATGGCAAAAATATGGATTGATCGACACATTATAAGTCAAATTACATTCACAGTAGATTGCCTTAGCAGAAGACGTTATATTTGGACTTTGGATTTCATTTTACTGGAAAGTCAATCACAGTTTATCGGCTATATTAAACATCTCTCCGAAGGCTTTCTCCGAAATGAGTCACTCTTCTAACCTCAGGTGGCTTCAAATGAGTAAAGGATTAGACACTACTGCAAATCCCAGGAATTAAAGGATTTGAACCGTTGCCACCGAAGACAAGCCAGATGTTGGTGGTGTGTTTTTCTGCCCACTGGGGAAGGGGCTTTACTTTTCTTATTACATACAAAGGACACCATGGTAACAGACCGTGGTGAAGCTCTCTTGAATACAGTTGCCATGCATTTTTCGTGTGTGTGTGTGTGTGTGTGTGTGTGTGTGTGTGTGTGTGTGTGTGTGTGTGTGTGTGTGTGTGTGTATCCGTGTATTTATGAGTGAGGTGTGGGGCTTTAATAGACCTATGATAGTGAGCAATATTTCAAAGTGAGAGGAGGGAGGTTGCACTTTGACAGAACATGAAATATGCAGAAGATCGGATCTATTTAGAGAGTTTTTGTGAGGCAGTTTAGCACAAAAATATGACGATGATGATGATGATGATGGACCAGTAGGGGTCAGTGGAAAATAACATGGAGAAGTTTGGTGTGTAAGCATCTTATTAACATTTTATTTGTACGTATTTTTTCATATTTGTATCATTATTGTTTCTTGTAAACATTTTTTTAAAAATTTTTTTAAATAGGTCAATCTTTGCTCCTCCTTTACAGGTTAATGTATCTTTGTCTATGCACTAAGTGCTACCTAAAGTGCAAGAGGAGATACCCCTGTGTTAAAGTGCATTTAGCGGTGATTACAGGTCTGTTTGTTTCTCATCCATTCTCTGAGTTGACCTTTGAAGCTATTGAGAGAGAGACGATCCCGTATCTCAGTGGGGAGGCTGTTCCACAAAGAGCTGTCTTTAACGGAGAGGACATTTTATCCAAAAGTGGTCCGTCTGCGGTGGACCTCACAGTCTCCTCTGGTTTCTGACCTGGTGCACCCAGTGTGTTTTATGTGGAGGAATTCCCCTAAGGGGGGGCGGGGGGGGGGCAGTCCATGTAAACATTTATAAATAAAACACATACTTTTAAAAGACTTAAAATTATCAAAACTTAAGAAATTGTGTTTCTCAAAGATGGTGCAGTGGTGGTATGAATGTGGCTTTCTGTCAAACACCTGGATAGCTCTCTTGAACAGCTGTTCTCTGGGTTTCAGGTTTGTGGCTCAAGCAAACGACCAGTTTGTCAAACAGTATTCAATGTGGGATAGAATCAGTGGAGGTGTGACTTTGCAGCTTTGAAAGTTAAGAAAGGTCTGATTTGTTTAAAATGTTGCAAGTTGAATTTAATGGTATTGGATACTTTCTTAATATGCTTCTTAAAAGTCAAGTTTGAGTCCAGTATGACTCCGAGATACTTGAAGTGGGGGACTAGTTCTATTTCTGCTCCGTTTAAAAACACATTGGATCCTTCGATTTTGACTGGTCGTTTACTGAACATCATGCTTACTGTTTTTTTGCATTTAACTTTAAGCAAATGTTGTTCAGCCAGAGGTGAACCTTGTCCGACACTGGACAGTTGAATGTGTTCTGCAAATATAATCACATTATGGACATACAGTACGAAGTTCATCCACCTTAAAAGATGTTACCATTAAAATAATATTTAACGTGTCTAAAAGCTTAGTGCCACTGTCGAAGTATAGTCTGCGCAGCTGCCTCATGTACTCTTAAAAAATGTTTTTGCACTGATAATATATGGGGACAAATGGTATGTTCTCTCCATGCAAAGACCAAGCATGGATCTATTTAAAGTATTTTTACGAGGTAGTTACGGTCATGATGATGATGGCCATGATGATGATAACCATAATGATGATGATGATGAGGATAGAACAGTAGGGATCAGGGAAAAAAGCTCATGATGAAGCTCATTGAGTGTTCTCCCCACTTTACAAATGTAATCCATTACGATTACTGTTACCTGTGAAGAGTGTCCCAATTTAAAACATGAATGTAACTTTCTGTTACCTTTGGACTACCTCAATATCACATTACTTTCCTTACGGGCATCAATAATGGTTTATGTTATTAACAGCCCCCCTAGTGAAGTGTTCTGTGTGCTAAAGGTGACGATGATGAACTGAAGGATTAGAAAAACAGGTTTATATTCCAGGTAAACTCTAGGACTCGAACACATGATCTCTGGATGGATAAATCAGCGAATCAAACCCCTGAGCCATGGAGCCTGTCTAACATACGACACTCTTGATTTTAAAGAGTCCTGTTACGTCCTTATCCTTCTAGAAATTCACTTTTGTATTCGTCTGTGACTGCAAGGGAATACAGTAACCTTTGATTATATCCTGATTACTGTAATCCCCATTACATGTAATCCATTACTTCCCAAGACGGTTCTCCCCCTGCTCAGTCCCAATCATTTCTTTTGAGTAAAGCTTGGCGCTCCTTTAGCTCTGATCGCCACTATCCCAGCCCTGCACGGCCAAATGAGTCACACACACTATCGCAATGAGAAGCATAGACAATTTCATCCAAGTTGCGTCGTGTGTGTGTGTGTGTGTGTGTGTGTGTGTGTGTGTGTGTGTGTGTGTGTGTGTGTGTGTGTGTGGGTGTGTGTGTGTGTGTGTGTGTGTGTGTGTGTGTGTGTGTGTGTGTGTGTGTGTGTGTGTGTTGTGTGTGTGTGTGTGTGTGTGTGTGTGTGTGTGTGTGTGTGTGTGTGTGTGTGTTCAGTGGAATCAAAACAAATCACCGGTGGACGTCCATTGGCTCGCTTGTCACATTGCATCAGTCGTGATTGCTTTCACGGCGGCAATCATCCGTCATGTCTTTAACGTGTGTTTTGGTCTGGCCCCGGTATTATACAGAGGGGGGGGGGGGGGTTGTTGGGGGGGGTCTCCTGTCTTGGCGAGGGTGTGTTACTGGCGGCCAGATGTGTCTACGAGACGACCAAGATAATCCCGATCAGTCGGTGATATGACAGTGAGACCCGGAGCCGTGTGCGCATTGGAGAGGCGATAAATCAAACGGCTGGCAGAAAAAAAGCGCTGGTGTACGCCGTCTCCCCCTTTCCCTCTCTTCTCCTCTTCCCCCCTTTTGCTTCCTCAACTCCCTCTCTCATGTCTCCCTCTTTTTCTCCTCTCACTGACTCCAAACGCACACACACTGCCGCTGAATTACACAACCAAACACTCTGAATCGTTGACTCTAATTAAATGCATTATGTCAAACAAATGCCACGGTACTGTATTAGGTTAGTTGAAAGAGATTAAGTTGAACCTAATGTGTTTTATTGAAACTTAATATTATTGCTTTCAACTAACCTAATACAATTATGTGAAATCTGTTAACATAATGCATTTAATTAAAGTTTCAGTTTTCTCAGTGCAGCCTTCCTCCCTCTGCTCCACTCTTAATAATACAAAATATATCCACACCCCCACTTTGATATGGAAATGGCTAACTCCTTTGCTCACACAACGCATCAACCTGCCGCACGCACACACGCACACACAGGCACGCACACATGCAGAGCTCTCCGCTGCACACACACACACACACACACACACACACAGCAGCTGCCTCCTCCGGGTTTGGCACCGAGCAACTCCAGCAACACCTCCCCGCTCAGAGAGCACCATCCCGGGGTTCTGCAGCCCGGAGGATCTGCCTCAAAACACCAACATCAGTCCTGCACACCTTCATAGTGAAATTAATTCACCCTGGGAAGCGATACTTAGAACGGTCCCCCCTTTTTTTGTGCACATCAGGATGCATGACACCACTTGTAACAGGTCGAGCTGGCAACAATTTGCCCACATTGTCCTTCCTCTTTTCTCTACGTTTTCTCTCCTCCTCTCTTCTGTTCAGCTGCTGCTTTTCCTCATGAGTATCTGAGAACACGGGACACATCTCCTCATGGTCCAAATCACCTCAACGTGGCAGCATGCGTGTCTCCAGTGCGCACCACTATCATCCCAGTGAACCCACAAGTGCAGCATCGATCAAGCCCCCCCCTCTTCTCTTCCCCCCAGCATTGACAGTTTCAGCCCAGCTTCTCTCAGCACGGAGAGGTTTTTGTCTTGTAGTCTTACCTTGATCCGGTTCCCGATGAGAAGAGGAGGCAGCAGCAGCTTTACGGTCCGATCTGCAGCGTGTCAGGCGGGGAAAGCGAGAGTATGTTATCCCTGGACAGAGCGGAGGTCCGTGCGTTCCAGCAGAGAGAGAGAGAGAGAGGAAGAGGAGGGGTGAGAGAGAGGCGGGCTGATGAACGAGGAGAGAGAGAGGAGGGGTGATGTTCAATCTGGGGAACAGCCGATCGGGATTCAATATGAGCGACACTGAGAGGAATTAAAACGCGTTCTGTTTTCACCCTGATGTGAGCAGTGCTGGAATGTAATGAAGTACATTTACTCAAGTGTCATTTTGAGGTACTGAGATTCAGCAAAGCAGATGTGGTCCGAAAGTGATGAGAAATAGATCAAATCGTTGGCAAATGTTTTTTTTTTTTATTGTCAATCTATCATAATGTATATTCAATAGTAACCGGCACATGTATAATGTATATCAGGTGTGGAATGCGTACATGTACTCAAGTGCCGTACTAAGGTACAACTTTGAGGTAGCCTACTTGTACTTTACCTGAGTATTTTCCTTTTATGATAGCCTACTTTTACTCAACTACAATTATCTGACAGCTTTAGTTACTTTACATTTTTAGAGTATTGGCTAATACACAATACAAATCAACATATATATATATATATATATATATATATATATATATATATATATATATATATAACTACAGTGTTGAAACGTAATGAAGTACATTTACTCAAGTACAATTTTGAGGTACTGAGATTCAGCAAGGCAGATGTGATCAGAAAGTGATGAGAAAGATCAAATCGTTGGAAAATGTTAAAATATAGTCAATATATCATAATGCATATTCAATAGTGACCAGCATGCCAGCATACCAGCATATGCATAGTGATTATGAATCAATTGACTTGCAAAAGTAACTAATCCTGTGGTATAAATATATGGAGTAAACATTAAAATATCTGCTTCCAGAATAGTTGACTATTGAATACTCAGGAAAGTCAAACAAATAGGTATTCGAGAAAATGTTACTTTCCAGCACTGTATGTTTGTATAATACTGTATATATAATTATAGGTGGAAATATCCAGCAGCAATATGTAAAGCTCCAACACATTAAAACATTAATCATCATAATCCATTCATTTGATATAAATGATTCTGTAATGGTCCATTACAATTACTTTACTTTTGGTACTTGAGTAAATGTTGATGCCAATACTTTTGTGCTTTTACTTAAGTAAGTAATATTTTAAAAGTAGGACTTGTTACAGAGTAGTTTTACTCTGAATAGGTAACATATCTGAGTCCTTCTTCCCCCCCCCCCCCTCTCGGTGTCAATGATCAGTATTTTAGAAATGTCGTGTGAGCATCATTAAAATGCCAAAGCAAGCCCCGTTTAAATATCACAGCGACATTCCCACCGGGACTTCATGCATCTGTGATTCTCTGGCGACCTTGTGTTAATTTAGATATTTGTATCTCTATCATAACAATCTATTCCAGTGTGTGTGCTTAATCTTTACCGGGACAATCTTTAGAAATGATATGCAGCATTCTCTAACCACAGAGGTGACAGCAGCTCCTAATAAGCTACAATCTTTGGATATTACGTATTGTACGGGTGTACGTGCTCTGCAGACCGCTCATTTCTGCAGAGATGGTAATTAATCATGTTTAGTCGAAGACAGTGTGTGGAGTTCCCGGGAATCCGCTCGCTGGTCTCCATCTCTCTCCATCACTTGCTCGAGTTACTGCCTCCCCGCGCGCACAGCTGCTTTCTAATCTGGGCACGTAGCAGCGCGACTCAAAAGTGCGCGCCCGTGCAAAGGGGCAGGGGAAAAGGCTCGAACACACACACACACACACACACACACACACACACACACACACACACACTTACAGGCACACAGAGAGAAAACTTCCAGATCCAACTGTGCTTCTGACGTCATTTCTGGTCAGTTTGAGAGGTATTGATTTACTGTGAGTATTTCGGTGAGTGTGGTGAGCGGAAACCAAGGGGAACACACTAAGGACCAAAGACAGGGACGTTAGTTAGTTTGTTAGTTCAAGGTAGTTAATCGTTCTGCATCAACTGTTCAAATGAATGTTTCAAGTGGCCGATATCTGATACGTTTGATCTGATGTCTGCACCTGAAACGGATCACATGCAACCAATACTGTCACACTCATGCACGTTGGAACAACAAACAATAACGACACATTTGCGAGTTGTCATTTGGGAAGAAACAAATGACCTAATGGTGCAATAATTCAAATCCCACATGATATGCACCAATATCATCACCTCAACACAGCTCTATGGCTTTGCAAGCTGAGGAGGTTCAACATGGACTCCAGGATACTCTGCAACTTCTACAGGTGCACCCTAGAGAGGATCCTGACCTTCTACAGGTGCACCCTAGAGAGGATCCTGACCTTCTACAGGTGCACCCTAGAGAGGATCCTGACCTTCTACAGGTGCCATCAATGGAGGAACTCTACTCCCAGCAGCTAAGGAAGAAAGCCCACAGGATTACAAAAGACCCCCATCACCCCAGAAGTGTTCAAGTGTTCTGTCTGCTGAGGACTAAAACCTCCAGACTCAGAGACGGTTTTATCCAAGCAAAACCATCCAGATGTTGCAATATGTCTAAAACAGTTCAGCCCAGGTACCACTCGCCTGACTGGTTCCCAATAAACCAATGGATGTACTTCAAAGTACTTAAATGGTACCGGTTCAACACAATTCAGGAGCTCCTCAGCCCATACACAAGTTTTGCGTCTAAAATCTGCTTTTGTTGGTTTCTTTTCGTCCCTTGGTACATGCTTGTATCGGCTTCCAGTAATGATCAGACCTCAGACCCAAGATTAGATTTAAAGACATCGGCTAAGACCTACCAAGTTTGGATTTCCATTAGTTCAGGTTTTGAGATCTCCACTGCTGAGATTTCTGCCTGAACCAAGACTGAATTACCAACCAAGCATATTGCAACTGTCCGGAGTCACCTGATCACGGGTCTCTAAAGCCTTAGATACACTGCACGTAAGATGTCTTGGGCATTTGATTAATCAAGTGTTGAAATGCTCTGCGACAGGTGAACGTCCTGCATTCAAAATGTTTAGGTTTCGTTTGATGAATTGAGAATGTGTTCGGACTTTTGACTCTTGCATTATAAACTAATTGTGTCACAGTGTCTTGCAGAGGAACCCTTTGAATAATGTTTGTGTTGTTTATATTTGAGTTAGTTAGTTCAAACACGTATGCCCATGTGGAGACATTTTACATAAATTAGGTACCTGACTTCACGTTGCTTATGTAAGCTCTTATCATTTCACTTTGGATTTATACGGGACAGAAACACCTGCTGGTATAATTCCTGTGTTTTCTGTCTCTTGCCGATGCTGCAAATTAAATATAACAACAAAGTCTCTTTTAAAAAAAAAGTGTTGCACTTATTCTCAATCCACAGATTCCCTATTTGCTTCCCAAATGTTCCTGATCAACACTGTTGATGGTCATTTGGGGGACTACCCCTTAACCTTAGCAAAGGTTTCTAGCATATCATTGAATTAGAATTATGGAGACCTTCCCTGCACTCTTCAGTCTATATGTGTCTTCATGTGTTCTTAACCGGTTCAGTCATCAGTCCAGATGTGAATTTGCCCTCAGTTAATTGTGGTTACACAACCCTTGCCTTGCATAGTCAAAGGTTACCTAAACTCTGTCTCATGAATACGTGTAATGAGTCTACCTGACCATTGCAAACAACCCTTTGGAGCATTTGTCTTTATTAAGTGCAAACACATTCTGCCTTGATGAAAGCTAGATACATTTCCATGAGGTGAAGTGTTTCAGTCATCAGACCATCACCAGCACAAGACCATTCACATCTACTCCACAAAGAGAAATAGTGCAATGAGAAAAGGTTAATGAAATAAATAAGTTCTCCTTTGGTTTCCACTAAATGGCCTTCAGACATTTCCAAAGCATTATAAAATATAAAGTAAAATACTCAGCTCTGTTCAATATGCCTGTTTTCCTACCTGTAAGAGTTCGAATTGGCCCTTTATTTGCACCCATCTGTCATGATTTATGGACTAATTGTGGTGTAATTGCCTTACATGTGTTTGTTTTAGCTGCGCAATAAGGCTGGAGGAGTTTCATGGCCTCTACATTTGTCTAGTGGGGGCAATTTCCCAGCGCTGCCTGGCTGCTGCTGATGAATGGATGCAGAGAGGAGAGGGTTGGGCTCATAATGCAGTGTTAGGAACTTTTCAATTCTCTATTAAGGATTTTGCAATTTGCACTTACACATCAAGACATACATATAAAAGTTAAGAAGATAAATATATAATGTAAAAGTGCATTGCAGAACAGAAAATACTGTAAAATGACTCGTGATGATGTTTTTGGGAGTTTTTCCCTTTCCTGCATTGTGTTATTTCAACAGTCTCACAAAAAGACTAGGGCCGGGACTCGATTAAAAAAATTAATCTAATTAATTAGAGGCTTTGTAATTAATTAATCGAAATTAATCGCATTTTTAATCGCATATAAATATTTGACTTGAGAACAGTGAGAAGCAATTTTTTTCACATGGATTTTAGTATACCATTAGGCGCATTCACACCGCAGTACTTTTCCCACAAAGGTTCATGAGAACTTAGTTCATGAGAACAAATGAAGCCGCTGACGTCACTTCTTCTTCTTCTGCTTTGGATTTACTGGCAGGCCGCAAACCACTTCACGGCGTATACTGCCGCCCAAAGTCCCCGGCCGGAAGTCCCCGGAGTTGGGGACTGGCTTCAGTAGAAGCTGCTGGGAGTCCCAGCAGCCTTCCGAGTAAATCGCCAGAACGCCGACACCTCCTCATCTCCACCGCTCCCATGTTTTATTTTGTGTTGCCATAAGTTAGTCTCTCTGCGTTTCTGCGCTGGGCTAATGCTAATAATGCTAATGCGAGGATAATAAAATGGCGGCTTCACCAAACTTTTTGGGAGTTTTACGGGGCGTGGTTTGCAATCCGCCCAGCCAATCAGAAATATAGCTCTTTTCTCACAAGAGAGCCGTACGAAAGTCCCTGCCTCTAGCAGCTCTCTG